TGACTTCGAATTTCTTCTTCAGAAATAAATTCCGAACCAGATTCAAATGCGTCATTATCAGCACCAATAGCTGCTGCTGTCACATAAGGATTTATATCACCATAAAAGTCATCTTGAACTATACGACGTTCATGAATATCTCGAAATGTAACTTCATTTCCATCATGTATAGCATAAGGAGGAACTGGTGGTAATGGAGCTGTTGCAAAATGTTGATCTTTTCCGACATATATATTTTGTCGACCTTTAGCACTACCCGAACCAAAAAATCGCTCACGGTATGATTTACGCTAAATAGAAAGACAAGCAAAAAAAAGGAATTTTTCGACGAGATAAGAAAAAAAAAAAAGAAAGAAAGAAAATAATCACATCAGCTGCATATTTTCTTTGTCGACACCATCGACAACAGTACCGTAAAAGATATAAAAGTAGTAACAACCAACAACAAATTAAGGCTAAGAGAGCCCAAATAGCTAAAGCAGTATTGAGCCACCATGGATAAGGAGTACTAAATAAAAACTTCTATCATCATTTTTTTAGTAAAATATTTTCAAATAAGGAAAAAAAAATTTTTCTTATACAATTTACTTACGTTGCTATACCACTATAAGCTGGCAATGGTAGTAAACCTTGGTCTGGTGTCACAATATTACCCATGATTTTGTATAAAAAGAATGTCTGCTCAGCATGTATATATTGTCATCGTCCTTTTTCTTTTTTTTTCCATTCTTTTGAATTATTCTTACCAACGCAAGATCAAACGAGTTTTTGATTAGGTAATAGAAAATTAATCTTTGTATAATGTACTTTCTCTTATGTCTTTGTTCGTTTACATCTGAAGAAATTTCATATTATTTATCAATTAATATTTGTTCTTATGATGTAGAATATTTTTCATTTGATAGAGATTTATATTACTCATAGAATAAAATCTGAAAATGATATTTATGAGAATATTCAATTAACTTTTGAACAAAAAAGAAAACTTTTAATTATATAAAATTAATTATTTCAATGACAAGTGTATTAGGTTATAACTTTTTTCTTCATGTTTTCCTTTTACATTAAATATCATATGGTCCCCTCGGATATACATTTGACATTGAAGCATCAATATTTGAAAATGGTGGATAATTTTGTGGTGTATTCCAAACATTTTGTACAGCTTGATATCTGTTTCTATCATATAACAATTCCGAATCTTCTTCAACAAATCGACATGCTGATACGACTTCACCAAAACTGCGTCGTTCAGTTGGATGAGTACTATGAATAGTCGTACTAGGTATTGGTATTGATTCTGGATAACAAAACGATTCAGGCGAAAATCGTTCATAGGGAAATAATGATATACCACTTCTAGAAAGAGCAACATTAATATGACGAATGTCATCAAGTAAAAGTGTTGGAGTAGATCTTGAAGGATAATCAATTAAATAAGGATTACTACTTGGATAAAATTCTTGAGGGGGTGATGATGCTACAGCGGAACTATAACCATAATCATTTACAGAAATATTCGGTGGAATATCATATCGTGTAATTTGACTTGTAATACCTATTTGACGTCGTTCACGTTCCAAACATTCACGTAAACATTGTTCCAATTGTGAAAAAGTACCGATACCCAAATAAGAAACTGGTCCGCCATGTGAAGGAACTGTTTCAAATATACTTTCATTTATTCTTGGTATTCCTGATTGTTGTGTAAATGTTGATGGAATAAGTTGATTTGTGTCGATAGTTGGATCAGTGATTCGAACATTGACACCGCTTGAACTTATTGGTTTCGATGAAGACGTTGGTGTTGTTATTTCACTAGCAATACGTCGTGCATAAGTATTTTGCTGTTCCGGATTGACACGGCGTAAAGCTGGTCTTGGAATTGTTCTATCATCAGATCCATCTGCTATATTAGTACTACCGCTAATAGGTCTTATTGTTGATTGATAAGGTTCAGCTCTTGGCATTGTTGTACTTCCTGATGTTGCTGTTGTTATTGGTTGAGTAGTGGATGCTGATGGTAGTGGTGGAGCAGATGGTACTGATGGATCTATGTATACATATTCAAAGAACATATTTAATATTTATTTTGAAAAATATTTAATTAAAATATACTTAATGGACCAGTTGGTCTTGTATAAGCATAATCACCCCTTGGTCGATTTGGAAAACGAATTTTTAATGCAGACAAATATGGATCTTCATTACGTGGAGGTGGTCGATAAGTTCTTTCTTGTTCATCCATATCGTCTGGTGCCGTTCCATACTCATCATCTTGTCTTTCATTTTCTCCAGTAATTGATGAACGTTGTTGATAAGGACGGCCATTTGCTCTTGATGCGATTCCAGTACCATATGAATCAGTTTGTGATGTAGTCGGCGAACGTGTTGATTGTCGTTCGGCACTTAACATGAGCGTATATCTAACTAAGTAAAATGAATTTGATTTTAATTTTAATTCAAACACGCGATACTGATGGAGAAAGACCTTGACAATAACAAAAGCCTTGCTCTTTTTCTTTTTTTAGGGTTTTTTTCTCGTGAAGTTACCACGTATAGTGTGTTGTTGTCTTACGATCGATGGCGACGGCCCTGTGTGGTTTTGATGATAGTAACGATCGTATATACAGCTACTAAGAAAAGAACGACCATGGAATAGGTGAGCAATGAAAGAAAAATTTTGTTGATACGCATCAAAGCGTTCTATTCCTTTTTTTCTCTCTTTACTTCAAGTGAATATTAATACAAAACATCGACCTTCATCTCTATGAATAAGAAACACGTGTATCAATATGATTAGTCATTTATTAATAAATATATTTTTCTTTTTAATATATTATTATAAAAAAAGGTCATGTATCATGTTCTGATATTTTGCAAAAAAATAAAGTAGATATTTTAATATTTTTTCATTACGTCATGTATCCAATCAATATCGACTGAAATTGATGCAAATGCATTATCATGATTAACATTTTGTGAACATTCATCAAGACCAAAACTTGCGACACCAAATAGATGCCATTTCCATATGGTCTTATTATTAGTTGATTTAATACCAGCATTGACCATTAAACCAGTACCTGAATCTCCACTACAAATATTATTTCCACGTTCATTTCTTCCACATATATGTAATTTTTTATCAACCATTAAATTACGACATGAACGTGGTGATATTCGAATTCTTGCTTTTCGTGGTAGATTAACAACTGTTGAATCAGGTGATGAATGTCCCCAACCAGCTGTAAATGCTAATGTACCATCATTTAATTTATCTGTAGATTCTGGTAAACAAGCTATATTAATTGAACGTGATAATGGTACGGATCTAGCTAATTTAATTAATGCTAGATCATGAATAGGTGCTGGTGATATTCGACTAATACGAAATTTTGGATGAATTAAATATAAAACTGGTTGTTGTATATATTCAGTTTGACTTGTACGTAATCGATCATAATGTCCCATAAAAAGATTAATACCCTCAGCTGGATATAGACGATTTGTTTTAGTATCAAACATACAATGAGCAGCAGTTATTATCCATTGCGGATGAATAAGTGTACCACCACAAAGTGTAACTGTATGTGAATAAGTACTTGAACGACTTTCTATACGAACCTTGAACAAAAAAGAATATAAATATAAATATAAATCAGAGAAAATTTTTCATTGAAATTAAAAAATAAATTGTAATACTTACAAGCCATGGATATTCAGCTGGACGTAAAGTATTTTTAACACTTGTACTTATTTTTAATTGTAATGCTCTTTTTTTTAATAAACGATCATTTTGAGCTACACCACATTTATTTAAATCATAATCTTCTGTTGGTTCATTATAATCTTCTAAATCAGTATTATTTATTATTGAAATACAATTATGTCCTCCACATGGTTCAACAATCATTCGACGTCCTCCAGTCATTGTATAAAAAGTAAAACAATTACGACAAGAAAGTGTATACTAAATATGTGTGTCAATTAAAACATAGAATAAAATTTAAAAAAAGTTTATTACAATTTTTTCTCTTGATAATGATGATTGAAGTGGAATATGAATAATATCATGAGAATTATCAAAGAATGGTATTCGTATTGACCATGATGATTGACTAGATGCCTATTTAATACAATAACAAGCTGTTAGCATCATCATCTTTGCAGAATTAAATGTATTATATCATGTTCGAAAAAAACAATAGATAGTTGAAAAAAAAATATTGTATTAGAAAGATCATTGAAAATGAAATAAATCATATATATTTTTGTTTTACAATAGCTATTTATAAGAGGATTTTTTTTTAATATTAATTAAAATTTTATTCATAATTAAGACAAGTTCTAAAATTTATGATTAAAACTCAGTTTTCTTAATTATTAATAGAGTATTGATTCAATTTTAATTAGCGATTAAAGAAATATTTTGACTTTAATTTTAACTGCTATTGAAAAATACATCATTTGTCTCTTTTGTTTTCACAGAAAATACCGAAAGTAAAAAGTATGTCAAACTATTGTAATCCACTTTACATACTTCAACACTTCTTTTAGATCGTGTTTCATAATATTAAATAAATTCATCTAAATTTAAACTTACACAATAATTAAATATAATAAATAATATGAAATATTGCATTGTATCTATTCGTGTGCGTTTATATGTAAAGTATTGTCTAGAAAATAAAAAAAAAAACCAGATCTACTCTTTTTTTTCCTCATATTTTATATTACACATCTTTCTCGTTCATACAAAAAGAAAGATGAGTGCATACGTAATTCAATGCTCTGTTTGTTTTTCAATTAAGAAACAAAAAGAAAAAAAAAATTCATCTTATCATTTTCTTCTGTTTACTCTTTCCAGACAAATGAGACGTCAAAACAAAAATGTAAGACCTTCAACGAATAGATAAAATGACAGTTTTGTATTAAAAAAAAAAAGTCTACTCAATTCAACATGAAATACTTCATAATTGAATCAAATTTTTTTTTATCATAATTAATTAGATGATTACTAGTATCGAAAATATTGATCATATTTCCCAAGAGAAAAAAAGTTCCAAACAATTGAAGAAAAGAAAATGTTAGAAGAAAATAACTTTCTATTGTTTGAATCTCAAGTGATACATAATCAATATAGATTTTGAAAATAATAATTTATCAATTGTATAACTTTGAAAAATATTTTCAATAGTAGACATACAAGATATTAAAATAGAAACGTATGATGAGAACAATCGATTAAAATAAATACATTGAAAAGTTCAGTAAAACATTTTATTAAACTTTACTTTTACAACAATTAACTAAACATGAATTATAATTTTATGCATAAAATATCTTATTATTGAATAGTGAAGTAAATTGATTCATATCTTTGCAAGTATTATGTTCAAATAAGAGCATCATCAATGATTGAATGTTTTTTGAACAGGTCATCAACAACTGTTGACCTCAGATTATTTATCCGATAGCAGCATGTTGACGAAAAAAAAATTTGAGTCTGACTGATATTTTGTCCAGAATTACTGTTAGTAATTTGTTATAGAAAAAATATTAAGTAAACGAAAGTATCTAACATTAGTTTTCTATACAGTAAGCGAGCCGAAGGGCTGATGAAATGAAAAAAAAAAAAAACAAGAAATATTTCGTAATTGATGATTAAATTTTCCCATGTATTAAGTTAAGATATGAGAGAAAATAATACTAATATTTGATTGATTTAAACACATTCACTATACATACATCCGGTAGATGTGTCAATGTTTATATTCCTTGGATTTCTATTCTTCAAGAAACACGAATACATTTTAAAATACTTCAAATGATGGTTTTTCAAAGATTCAAAAAGGTGAACTCGAATTTCCAAGTCAAAGCAAAGTGCATCTGAAAAGGGCATAATTCAATAACCTATTATCCAAAATTTTAAACCAACAGAATACACTATAAAAAATGATGATAGAGGAAAATATTTTAGTGCAGTAGTGCTGGTGGTGTTGCAAACAAGATCTTTAATTGCATGTTTTCCTGTTTAAACGATTGAAATTTTTATTAAAATAAAACAATGGATAATAGACTTTTTGTTATACTCTTTTTAGATGCACAAGGTTTCGATCCCAAAGTGTCGGTTTAGATTTTCAGTTCTCTGGAACATAAAAAAATCTCGGAACTAAACCTAGAGGTTTCAGTCGCTAATTCCGTTTTTCTAGAAACAAGGATCCAAAAATATATATTGTGTTCCTCGGTACATTATCTAAAACTGACACACATAACAGTATCATCTCATAGTGTTTATGTTGATTATACGACGGTTGTAGCAAATCAATTCATCATTATCCATTATTGTTGACTTCTCGAATAGAGATTTTGGTTTTTGTGAACATAAAAAATTACAGTATTTAGAATATTCATAAACGTATTTTTAGCAATTCAGAGATTAAATTAGACTTTAGAATATTCTAGAACAGGCTAAATTTTTTTGTTAATGCCGTTCACCGTCTTTTTTCTTTGCTACAGAACTCTGAAAAAGAAACGGTTTAATGTCTGTTGTCATTGGTTTCTATTGAAAGGTATCCAATTACCGTTGACATTTATTTTTCCCTCGTTGCTAGGAGTCTACGAAGGATGAATTCACGAAAACGTCGACTATTTTTCTTCGAAGAACATAATGCGAGTATCAAAAAGAAAATTTCTAGAAATAAGATAGTAACTTAATCAAGTCTATTACAAATATTTTTATTTCTATCTATCAGCATAACAAGAAAAAGAAAAGATTTTGAAATCAAAGCATAGATATCCTATAATGAAAAGGAATAATGAATTTAGAAAAAGTAAAATTATAAAAGAGAAAAAAAACTAATTGTCATTGGAAGATTTTAATTTTTTCATTTCTTCTTCAATAATTATTGATGATTGATTTTTCTTTTCGTTTTTTGAGTTTACATATAATATCCAAACTTGAATTAAATGTCCACTCATAATAATACAAAGAAATAAAATAATTGCCCAACCCTATGAATATTAAATATTCATATTGATTTTTTGTTAAATACAAATAATTAAAATATTTACTCGCCAAATATATCTCGGATCAGTCGCTAGAAGTATTAAAGCATATGTAGCAAAACTAATGATTCCTGCTGTTGTCCACATAATTCCAAGAAGTGATCCAATAAATTGAGGTGGAAAACTTTCAAAATAAAATTATCAATAAAACAAAAAAAAAAAAGAAAATAATCAAATGAAAAACATTAAAGTTTATTTTTTACACAGTAGCAATTAATGCTTGACTTCCAGCCACAAGCATTGTACGTGAAAAAATTAAAATAATCAAAGCTATTATAGCTGCATAAATCGATGGAAACATACAAACAATACAAAGAGCTACAGAACCAATCCAAGTTAATGTTTGTAAAATTGAAATATTAAACATTTTTTGTTTATAACCTTAATAAATAAATAAAAAAAGCAGAGTATGAAATTCTAAGAAATTATCAAAATAACTTTAACAAACCACGATCAGATTTAAAATCAATAATAAAACCACATATTGGTGCAACGAGAATTCCCGAAATAGCAATCATATTGTACCAGCGCGTATAATGATTGGCTATGAAATAATAAAATGATGAAAAATAATTTCACAACAATACAGTTTTAATTTTCTTTTTCAATCCATCTTTACATACGATGTCTAACTGGTTTTTATCCACTTCTAAGTCATTGAAGAAATCAAAAGTCAATCAAAATATCATATTTTTTCTTACTATTTATTAAGAATGTTTTTTTTTCTGACATAAATTTAGTTCATTAAGAACAAATTTTTGATGGAGATTAGAATCACTTTTGTAAATTGTTCTACAATCTAATGTATAAAATTCTGTACACACACGCCGTTCTCTGCTACTATCAAAAGTTCGCTTTGTGTGGGCTAACTTTAAACTAGAAACAAAAATTCTGAATATACAGTTATAAAGAATATGAAATTCTGATAGAAGACGAAAATCGATCAATTATCTTGTGCAAAGAGTTTTTACATATAGATTATAATGTTAAAACAACTAGCTCAAATCTAGCTAATAGTTTTAATAACCAATGGAGTTTTCTATCTGATACATTCTGTACTAGATGAATTATGATGGCGAAGTTTCAAAAAAAAAATTGGACATACCAAAGAAATGAAGTACGTCTGTAAAACTCTAGAAAATGATAGGAACTTGGTAGCAGCAATCCAGGTCCTGCCAGAACCGACCGCTACAATCATTGATCTGAGATGATATCATATTAAAGAGCACAAACTTCTGAACATAATGAGAAGTCATCATATTTTCTACGACCTTCTCTTGAAAGCTGAAAAGTATCACAACAACCATAAGAAACGAAATTTATTAAAAATCGACTAAAAAATGTCATTTTTTTTTTCTATTTTTAAAATGCTTTTAAATTTTTAAAGGAAGGTCGTAGAAAATACAGTGCCTTTTCATTGTGTTCAAAGTTTTATATTCTTTAAAATGACATTATTGAAAAGAATAGTTTCTACGATTTGAAAACTATCGTGTCTAATTTGTTCTTAAAAATCTGATCATCATCATCATCATCATTCATCTAGTAGTATAGAGCGCATTAGATAATAAACTTCATTGATAATTAAACTCATTAGCTGAATTCAAACTAGTTATTTAACAATTTAGAAAAAATAAATAAATATATATCAATTAAACTTACTTAATTGTGTATTATTTCCAGTTACATGCATAAGCCATTTAAACCAAACAACTGGAAGATATGATATTGTAAGCAATAGACAACTGAGAAAAAGTGTTACAACAATAAATAATGGATTTTTTAAATATTGAATTAAAGTATCATGTGTAGTAATTGTTTTAACTATGTATATATATTTACATAAGATTAAATTTATATCTTTAAACAATTTATAAACCTTCTATTGTTGTTGACTTTGATTTCAAGGTTAAATTCATACAAGTGAAACGCCAATCAAGAAATAGCATAGCACTACCAAACATCAATATTGCAAGTGATGCCCATATAAAGGCCAATGTCGATAGAGAAATCAGTTGTTTTTCAATCAAAAGCTATAAAATAAAAAAAATCTAATAATAATAAATACAAAAAATGTCATTTCTTACTTGAAATATTGCATACCAAATTGAACTAGTAAGTTGTGCACCTGATATCAATGCTCTAAAATAAAATTCAATTTATTTTTTTTTTTTTGATTTTTGATATTATAATTAATACTTACGTAACAAGACCACGATGTTGACTAAAATTAGCCGATATAGAAAATGATGAAAGTAAAGTACAAATTCCAGCTAAAGATAAAAATATCGTATGGAATAGAAGAAGCCAATCACGTTCTAATATAAATATTTAATCAAAATTAAATATTTCTTAATAATTTATTACTAGGTTCTACGAATCCAAGTGATAACCAACTGATCAGATGAAAAATACTATTAAAATCATTTTTTTTCAAATAAAAATCAACATTTAGAATTTAATTTAAAAGAAAAAAATTTTACATTGCAATTAATTTTAGACATCGAGGTCCAAAATAATCATTAATCATACCAACTATGATAGCTGGTAAATTATAAAATGCAATACCCAGAGCAAAATCAAACTGAAATCAATTAAAAATCTATAAGTTTTCTTTTTTTTTAATCTATATCTAAACAGACTTCATAGTTCTGTATTTGCCCGACACATGCTTTTTCTTGTGTCTTTGTATTATTTAATACAATTCGTTCAGATACGTTTCCACATTTCGATTGATAAATTTTATATTTTGGTAATTCACTGAATAATGAGGCAAATCCAAAGATACTATAATAATTATTCAATAAATCTTTTCTTATAATAAACAAATAAATACCTACTTTCCAGCAACAAGATTACATTCAATTAGAATCCAAATCAGTCCAATTATTTTCAAATAAGATTTATCTTTTTTCTAAATTAACTTAAATTTATTTAAAATATAACATAAAAATCTTACATACATTATTCATTATAAATTGATCTTTTGTTAAATATCTAAGTCACGTACTGTAGAAAGAGTGAGATAAAATGGAATGGAATCCATTTCTTTTTCTTGAAGTAATAATATTATTCATTATCGAAGAGCGGAATAAACAGAAAACAAAAAACAACTATGGTCTGTATTTTTCTCGTGACTCTAAATTATTATTACTATGCATTGTTACCAAGAAACGGACCACAGAACAGTGAAATAAATCACATACATCATCAGGAAAAAAAAATAAGAACGATATGAAAAAAAAATCAAGAACAAACAAATAGTTCCGTTGTTTGTTAGCGTCGTTCTTTACACAAAGAAGAAAAAAAAACAAAAAAAAGTTGGATCTATCGTCATTTTCATCAAATAACTAACAAAACATAGATTCTGATTGATCTTAATAAATCGATCGTGTTTTATTCAAGAAAATTGTTGAAAAAAAAATATTATGAAACTTATTTTATTTTTTTTTTGCATTTTATATTAGTTCAAATATTGAAAAATTATTCATTCAGAAAAGATTATATTAACTCATAAGTAGAAAAAAAAATGTCATGAAGTGTTTATTTATAGTAACACTCAATAATGCAATATAAAACTGCAGTTATATAGAATAGAAGAGACTCTGTAACTTTTTATGAGTTGTCATATTATAACGAAAGTGTCATGAATCGATTTATGAAGAAATAACTTTTCGATGGATAAAAAAAAACAAATATTGTCATGTCATTGTTCAGTTCGATTTGTCTCAGAATTAAAAAAGAAAAATATTAACATAGATAGTATTATTACAATTGATAACATGCATATGTATTAAGTTAACTGATGGCAGATGAGAATAATAATGAATCATATAAGATTTATGACATACAATTCATTCATTTGAATAATAGTATAAAATTAAAATCAACTTTTTTTTATACACAACAAAATAATGAATATGATTTTGAAACTAGACAAAAAGTCTTCATTCTCAATGATTTTATGATATATATATATATATATTAGCATAATTTTTGGTTTGAATCGAATTAGGAAAACCTATTTATTTAATCAGTTATTTTTTCAAAAAAATATATTATCATTTGAAACTTCTGGTCGTCTCGTCATCAATCGTGAACATGTTTTCTTTCATCAGTATTTCTCATGTTAGTAAATTCGTTAAAAAATTTCTGATAAATGAAAACATTTTTTTTTTATTGCATGCAAAAACTGTCTACACGAATAGTTTCAAAAGTAATTTTTTCCTAATATTTATATCATGTTTTATTTACTGTTCATTATTAATATCATCATCATCTGTAGTGAAATATATTTTTTTTTTGTGAGTGTGAGTTTGACTGTTCTTCCACTCTTCGCCCACATGCTTCACTATTGGAGTACGGAAACAAAATGAATCTATTTAAAACTTTATTATTGCAACTAAAAAAAAAGTTGTTCGCGCAATCCCTATGGAAATAAAATGCTTAACACGATCTAGCTGCTTTTACTAATTACAAGATGACTGCTTTTTGTTATCTATTTTGGGATACACGTCTTCATCATCTTTTTAATTAATTCTCGAAAAAAGCCATAAGGAAGTATGTCACAAATTATAACGAGACATTATTCTTATACGATCTTTGATTGTATATCAACAATTTCTTCCATAGTCTGTGATAGAAAGAGATGATGTTCCTCCAGCGTGTAATTTTGTTCTACAATGAGTTTCTGGGATGTCTGCTACAATTTATGATGGTCAACATTTATATCCTGTATACTTCAACACTCTTTTCAGTTCATATGTCACAAAATTGATCTTGCCCCATCTATAATATCCTACGAAAGTCTTGTCAGTATCATATCCAACAAAATAAACTATATCAGTATTTTATGACAACTATTGGAAATTTATATATCTTAAGATAAAATATTTATCGAATATCTAATTAACTATTTGATTTTGCTGTTCAGATAGCGAGCTAGATTTCATATATTATATCGTAATAGTCCTTCCAAGATGATATTCACTGAAAAAAAGGTACTGGAAACAAAAAAACACTTAATTCTACATATCTTGAATCAATAGATATTAGAAAGTGTTAGCAATTCGAAGAAATCCAATTGTTAAACACTTTTGTAATCGTTATTTCAAAAGTAAAATTAGAGAAAAAAACATGAGATATTGACTTATATTTAATATTCAAATTTTTGATGATGAATTACTTTTAAATATAGACCGTTGATTAACAACAAGCAAATGTGTAATTGTCAAAAATAAGAAATGAATAAATAAGTTAGAACGAATGCATCTGTCTCAACAAATAATATATGATTATATGACAAAATTAACTCTGACATATATCAACTAAACTTCATTGAAAGATTCTATACTGCTAAACTATGTAGTACTATTTTTATCTTCAAGAATGCAAGAACAAAAACTGCTTGACATTTATGATATTCATATTATTTTTGATAAAAAAAATACTGCGTAGAAATAAACTGATTATATGGGCAACATTTTTTAAAAGCCTCGCTATTAATAGCGTTGTTTTTCTTTTAATATATCTTCAACAACATTCGTTGATTTTCTACAATGAATTTATTCAGTTGACGTCTTATGTTTTGAATATAAATTTGTCATAGATCAGACTTCTGCTGCAACAATAGCAAAATTTCCTAAAAAAACAAAAATTATTATCTATTCTAAAGTAAAACTTATTAAAACGAATAAACATTTAAGTGTATATTCTCTCTCTTTCCAAACTTGAAAAGTACACTATTTTTTGGGTATGTATATTTTTGATCACCAAAAAAAAGGTACAAGTGATCACCAAAATTTTTTCTTGCGAAATGAGCACCAAAAAAATATACATTTGATCACCAAATTTATTATGAATAAATAAATAGAACAAGAATAGCAATTATTACACTAATGAACGTACTCAAGACAAAATTAACAAGCAACATAAAGTTTATATTTAATTATGGTAATAATGCCGTACGAATTTTTTTTGGTCGGCCTGCAGTTTTTCGTTTTTCCAATGGAATAAGACGAGTTTCATCTTTAATATTGTAAACGTTGAATATAATTGCCAATCCGACAGAATGCTTGCACCTGTATTGTTTGAGACCGATGGGACACGTACAAGAACCAAGTAATGACACCAACCAACACGATGATTTCCATGCAACAAAATGATCAAATGATGTCCATTGGCTCGACTTATGAAGACCTAACCAAATTGATGCTGACATAACGCTTTGAGAAGAAGGAACTATGTAAAAATTATTGAAAAAAAAACAAAATATCAAATTGATTAACATTTAAAGACCATTTAAATGCATGTCGCTCCATTTCAGAAGTTATATCAGGTATATTAGCGTATGGAGCTGAAATACTTGCCTACAACCAATCTAATAACATCTCTTCTACCTTCGGTAGAAAAGCAGATAAAGGTAATTTGTTCCGTAACGTGTACTTCTGTTTAATAATTGCATTAAGTGACTCAAGACCATTGTTGGTGGATAGTTTGCCATGTGCTGCTCCTTCATACCTGTCCAAGAGAATGATTCCTTTTTTAATTTTTATTAAAGTATTTTTCTTACCAGTAGCGTAATTTTGAAATCCATTGTTCCGTAAAATAATCAACAAATATTTTCATTGATGGAATTTGGCTTCATTTCTGTAATAATAAATGAACGCCAAGATCAAATATATCATCGGAGAAGGCCAATTGAAGTTCATGGATATCTTTGTCGATAATTAGCCAATCATTTTTTGTAACTAAATTACGATGATTGCTGCATTTTCTGATCATATGACTCCAGCACATTAAGCGTCGACTATTTGGAAATATTGCGTTTTGGGTACTTGTAAGTGCTAAATAAAACTATAGTTCGTAATTATTTAACTAATGGCTTGCAGTTTACCTAGTGCACCATCCGCCATTATTTGATTGATGACACAAGGTTCATTAAATTCTTGAAGTGCTAATGCATTAATTGAATTAAATAAGTGAGCAAAGCATTCAGAATTTTCATCACTGCAAATTAATGCCATACCAAATGCTTTAAAATGACGATTAGCATCGGTGGAGCCAAAGACAAGTAGGGATAAATTATTCCATGTTAATTTATAAGTTGCATTAACTTGTACAAAGGTGGTTTATCGAATTTGTTGAAATAATTGTTTTGTTGTAAAAAAAACGAACAAATTATTAATATCATCAATATTATAGAAAGGAGCAAAAGTAGAATGCAGGTCCTTACCATTTTTATGTTCATAGCACCAGTTTCATAAATCATAAGCCGAAAATATTTCTGGTTTATCTTTCCTTCGTTCATATATAATTATATTATGTAATTTAGCTTCATTAATTGAAGTTTGTAAATAATTAATAACTATTGATTTTCTAATTTGATTCTCTGTCAATCCACATTTCACATAATTAGACACAGCTCGGCGTATTGGTGATGGTAATCTCGTTGTTGGATTTCGTTCACTTTCTTCATGTTGATGGTTATTTCTTGACATAATGTTAAATTGATTGCACATTGTTGTCTGCCACAGTAATTTTTATTTCAAATAGACATAATGGATATTTTCTGTATTGGCTGCATCTAAACGAGTATTTGGTCTCGTTTTTTAAATCTGATCGTCGATATTGGCAAACATTATATATTGTTGTTGTGAATTCTTTTGCTTTTTCATATGGTTTAGCAATATGTAGCATTGTCCATTCGTTATTTGATATTTTTTATGGAATGATTTTTTATGATAGAACATACTTTTAAAATGCTTTTAGTTAATGAGATCATTCAGATGGGATGAGATTATTCCTATTTTTAACTTAAGCTTGCTTTATTAATTAATCAACGTTCTCGATCAATATGTGATCTATCACAAATATATACTAATATCCTATAAAAGTAACATATCGCACATTTCACGTTAATTATTTTGGTGATCAAATGTATATTTTTTTGGTGCTCATTTCACAAGAAAAAAATTTGGTGATCATTTGTACCTTTTTTTGGTGATCAAATATATATTTACGCCTGTTTTTTTATTTTTGTTTTTTCATTAATACACACACATTGATATGATATATTGCTCGATTTAGTTCGACATGTTTGATCGATATGATGATTTTGAAAAAGGTCCTATATGCCTGTCATTGATTTGTTACTCATTTGTGCATCTACTAAGAGCTTTTCATTCTCTTTCATTTCTTCTATTTCTCGATGTCCAAAATAGAAGTGAACACAGAAGATGACTGTCAATTGATATATTCTTTTTCTCAAACTACAAGCATGTTGACCATATAACCAGTGTGGGAGTTAAAACTGTTTTTTGAAAAAGTTAAAAGTTGAGAAAATCGGAAAAAGTTAAAATGGTTATAACTCGAGTTATAACTTTCAACCACGG